AGCTCAAGCCAACCATAGACACATACGAGAATTCCTTGAGACCTCGTTCTCCACCCATAGTGCAATCGACAAACATGTGGAATTAGACCCCATATGCAAACCCTTGCAAAAAAGAACCAGGAATGACACACAACATCTCAACAGACCGGATCATGTAAATACCAAGCGGAGTAGAATACATCGATGATGTTACCTAGCATGGTGACGAAATTTCTGAACTCCAACCAGCCAGCTCGGCGAGCAATTCAACAACCTCACCCACAACCTGAGCTACAAATCTTCACAAGAACCTTAAACTTTCAGTATAATGAAACATTCCAACAGCTTCAGAGGAGCATTATAAAACAAAATATGGCACTGAGCTACATGAGGAGATATTAATTCGCATGATGAAAGAAGTAGAAGCAGAAGCAGAGACCGGTAGGTAGGGTATTCTAAAGCTTGAGGATAGACAACTGAAGAAAGTGCCAACAACAGTGGTGAGATTAAAATCAGGGCAGGGGGTGGTACAGATATTTCATTAGAGTCACAGCACTGGCGATTAGAGATAGGGAGTGAGGCTATGGAAGGATTTGAAAACTAATGAGAATTTTAAAATCAAGATGCAATTTGACCAGGAACAAATGTCGTTCAGGCAGTAGGATGATAGTTGGGCAGGACTAGCTGCAAGTAAAGACATCACCAGAATTCTGGATGACCTCAAGTTTGCAGAGACAGAACGTGAGACACTGGCTCGAAGTTCACTGGAATTACTGAATCCAGAGGGAACAAAACCATGAATTAATGTTTCAGTAGTAAATGAGCTGTGACAGAGCAAGGTCAGGTGATGCTAGAGAGGTGAGGATAGGCAACTTTAGTAATGGCACGATCACGAGCTCAAAATAAATCATGACAAAATGCTTGCGAAAAGATTACCTTAATCTCAGCTAGGTCAGTAGCTGGGGTATGGAGTTAGGAATACAAACAGAAGTCAGTTAATCCAGCCATCCCAATATTTAATAAGAGGAAATTTTTACTCATCCAGTACTAGAGTCAGATAAGCAGTGTGATCATTTAACAATAGTTAAGGAGTCGAGTGGTGAAGTAGTAGTTGTGTGAAAAGCTAATGCTGTATTTTCAGAGGATGTTAGGACTACGGGTTCAATAATTAAATCAAACAAATTATTTTTAAGAATCTGTTCTCACTGCAACCTTAGCATACCACAAATAATCCATAAACTATCTTACAAAGAATTGAGAGTTCTGATCAACGTTCACTTCTTTTTGATGGACCCAGTCATGACTGTAGCAAAAGATGCCTGGTTTCTCCAGGCTGCTAGCCCAGACACACCAAAATCACATGCACAGGCCAAATCTAACAGTGCTCTATATACACTTTTAACTTGCCTTTGTTCATTTAAATGGGATTGTTAATCCATCAAATCTTCTTTTAAATCACCTTGAAAATCTGTTTTTCAGAGGATTGCATTTCTGAATCCCTTGCATCTCATTGGTTCAAAGTGACAAAAGAACAATTTAAAATTCAGTTGGTCTACTTTCAACAGCTGATAAAGAAATATAAAACTTAAAATATTTGAGATTTTGTCAAGTGCCAAAACTGACCGTTTTTAAAAATAATATGTTTGAAGATGCTCTGAAAAAGTAACTGCTGTCTAAAGACAGTTGTAAACCTCACAAAAATATCAAAGCTCTTCTTTGACACTTCTCCCACAACAACTGAATTAACCATTTCTGACAACTTTTACTCTCCCCACCAAACAAGTCATGCTTGGGTTTTCTTGTACCCATGTCTTACTCACTTTGCATGACAAATACTTTATTGCGTGATGCATACAAATAAAGATTCCTTTTTTCAGGCTTATATGTCTGCATAACCGACAACACCAACAAAATTAACTGCTGGTTTTAACCTTGGTAGTTCATTGACTTTTTTTTTTAAGGGGAAGACCACAAACATATTCTTGCTCAAGAGAAATAAATTACATTCATGGTATACAAACAGAAAATTGGAAACTCCATTTGAGTCTTTGAAATCTGGTTTATTCAATGTTAGGTTACTTATATATGGATTTGTTCTTTGAACCTTAACATACATCATTGGATAGATCCATTGTTCAATTAAAATAAAACCAAGAAGTGTTTCTGCTGGAATTTTGCTTTCTGTAGTTGTTTACATGGTTCCTACATTGGTACAACAATATCCAGGCCTAGAATAATCCTTACTATAGGAGGGACGCATGCTTTAGAGTAGGCCAAATTTTGATGCCATTAAACAATCTTCCAAAAACTTTTCATTCCATATCCGTTTGTACTATGAATGTAAAAGTCACAAAGAGAGATTCTCTCTTTCTTGTTTATACTTCGCAAAATGTCAAGAAATTAGCTTGATAGTGGTAACAGATGCAATGTCATGGCCTATTTAGCAATATGATAATTTTAAAGATTCATTCTAGAAACTGAAATTTAGATTAAACTGTGTTGCAAATAACATTCAGTAGAGCACGAAAACGGTGATAACTAGCCACATTACAGAGCGGTATTTGATGCTTGACCATGAACCAGTCAAGATCATGTTGATAAGACATTTTTATATTTATTGTAATTTGTTGACATGGTCCATGCTTCATAAATTATGCAAAGTAGCAATGCTACAAAAAAACTTCTCCATCAAAACTGCATTAACCAATATAAGTAGGGATTGCCAAGAATGACAATCGTTTGCAATTGGATATTGCTGTCAAATACAGAAGATAAAGAGTTATCAGTTGGCCTACAGCTGTGCTTTTATAACCAAAGATAGATATGAATACTATATGAAACTTCGACCCAAGTCATTCAGAATCCCTAGATCAGGTTACAAATTGCCCACTTACGTTTATTGCACTTTTTCTCATGAACTTCCAGGCCAGGGGCCTTCCCACCTTAAGTAGCATAGACATTTCTACAAATCCGCTCAGCCAGTGGGGAAGTGGATTGGCACTGAAACCATGGGCCCCCTTTCCAGTAGTTAGAGCCATATTCTGTCTTTCAAGCCACTTTGACAGACATAGCAAGGAACTAAGACCATAAGATATAGGAGCAGAATTAGGCCATTCAGCCCATCAAGTGAGGAGGTGGAGTGCCAGCTGGGTGAACAGAGGCGGTATGGTTGCAGCTGAGTGGGTGAAATCTTGGGATAGGTCCTCGACAGGGGGTGACAAGATTGGGTAATCAGTGGTACCCAATTGTAGGAGGTTCAAAGTTACATCACATTTTCTAAATTCCTTCAACTTTTCCTGCCTACTATTCAGATTAATAAGTTGGAACCCTGCAAAGAGTCTCCCACTCCAAATCAGATTTGGAGATATTTTCTAATATATTTTTGCTGGGTAATTGCCAATTGGAAGTTTCAACTTCCCAGGCAATTACTGCAGAGTCAGTTGCATCAAGATTTCTGCATGCACCCAATGCACAACTCCAGTCTACACTGCTGTACACAGACCCCAAGATGCTGTTCATTTGGTCTACCTAATATATTTGGAATATATATATATATATTTCAGATTCAAGAACGTGTTTAATTACAACAGATTTTTAATTCAGTATAATTAAATCAGTCATATTTTATTCCATTTACTATTCGACAAAATATATAAAATGAAGAATCAAAGCTTTCAAAGCCATATGCAAATTCATCAAAGCATGCAGAACTGATCTGCAGAGTCATTATGTGTGCAAAGAAGGATTTCAAGATTATTGTTCTCATTAGGATCATCATTTGATACCAGTATTGGAAAGTGACCCACAGTTTTCCCTCTTGCCAGGCAAACATCTTGCTTGCATTTGATATCTGTCACTATTTGTCTGTACAACAGTAAACACATTGTTGCAGTACACTGATGTCCATGTCTACTGAATAGGAAAAATAGACATGATAATAAAATAGATCCATACAAGGAAACTGACCAACTTGCAGGATCAGTGAATGTCATTGCAAAACTTATACTGGAGGCCATTGTACTCTCGCTCAATTCCAACTAAAAACTCTGAACTCAAAGTTTGGAGATGAACAATAGGATCAAAAAAAAAAGGAAAATACTAACCCCGAGGTGTTAGAGAGGCCTGTTTTTCCACTTCTGTTTGCTGTCTCAGACTAGTTGGAATATTGTTATAGATGCGCTTGTAGTGGTTGTACACGGCAACTGAAAGTACCTTCTTGGCATAGGACTGACCAACCACATATTTGTCGAGATAACTGTAAATCTAAAACAAAATTAAAATCAGACTACATCAAGAATAGTTAACCAAAAATGAGACTTTTAGCATATACTGCAATGCAAGCTTATAAGAAAGTAACAGTACGTAAAAATTGTACACAAGACTAGAAGAGTCACATCAGAATGGAATAATTTACCTCAAGGGTAAGAAAGTAAATGACACATGGAGAATACATGGCACACATACACGTGTTGAATATCACAGTACAAAGACAGGACAGTATATTGTTACAAATATACCAAAAGGATCACATATTATCCAGTTAATTTCCTAATGCATCATTTCAATCGACACAACCAGTCATAATTTCCAGTCGTGATCATTAACTGCAAAGCTTCATTTCCAGACTTAACCAAGTGGTGAAAGACTGGCAGAAGCCAGAGAATTGCTCTTGGTTCAAACAATACTCATGAGGGAAAATTTATAGTGGTCGTGTCCAAAAGTCAAAGTATTGTAATTAGTATTGTTGAGACTACAGTAAAAGGGCCATATGGCCACACAAACTATTATTAATGGAACCTCCGACAGACAAATGACAGCCAGTCTGCATGGACCATAAGTGTCAATTCATCTTTATTACTTACATGACATGACATCTCCATGAGGGTGTCTTCTCCTTTTATTTAAGTTGTCAAACAAGAAGCAGACGATTAACAATTTATTATTACCGATTTTCATAACTTTTCTGCTATTGTTAAAGGACGTTTCAAAGGAAATCCCTGCACTCTCTAGTACATTTCCCAAGAGGTCATTTTGATTTCAAGGTTTAGAGATAAAATCAATTTGTGGTTTCAGCTCTGTGAAGTTACCATTTCATTTTTTAAAAAAAAAATGAGGTAAGAAACTCATTTGGAACAGTGAACTAAATAAATCATTTCCATGAAGGCATGCAAATTAGTGACCTTGCAAGATATCTGTTGTGTTAGCTGGCTAAGCGTTTACCATGCTGGCTTCATAACATACAGAAGAAGAAATGATCAGGGTCACTAATAGCTCGAGTTCAATTCGGGAGAATCAGGTTTCAGGTCAGAAAGAACAGTTTCATCCTTGAAGAAGGGAGGTATGTTATTTTGAAGAATCTCCAGGTTTGAGGGTTTGTACACCATCTCCTGGATATCAGAACTGAAATTCTGCCCAGGCTATTAGATTTGGAAAGATGTCTCAGGTACATCAAAACTGGAAACACTCCATTAAGAAGGAAGTGAAAAAGTGTTAAGATAGGAGTGGTACTTAATTGGGGTTGAGTTTCTGCAAATGATATTGCCAGGAAGAGAGTTGAATCTTTGTCTGCTGTTTATTTTAAGACCTTTCCGATTCGCCTTTTTGATTTTTTTTTGGCTCAATAAACTTTTCTTCTTGTATTAAGAGAATATTGACAACCTCATGCGCGTCATTGACACCTCATTCAGTGACTGACCACCAGAGTAAACAAACTGCAAAAAAAGCTCTCAAGCCACATTTCCAGTTCACCATCAGCTGGGATCATAACACCATTATAATTGAAATGTTGCCCCTGGCACATCTTAAACATCTGAACTATTGTTGCAATGTTTAGTTGTTAATTTATTCCTTTGCCTTCAAGACCGGGTAGGCCACTTTTGAAATTCTACATCCAATTCTGGTCTCCCTGCTATAGGAAAGATACCGTGAAACTTAAAAGAATTCAGAAAAGATTTGGGATGTTGCCAGGGTTGGACATTCAAACTACAGGGAGAGGCTGAAAAGGCAGAGGCTATTTTCCCTGGAGTGTTGAAGGCCAAGGGATGACCTTACAGAAGCTTATATGGTCATGAGTGGCATGGATAGGGTGAATGCTCAAGGTCTTTTCCCCAGGGTAGGGGAGTCCAAAACTAGAGGGCATAGGTTTAAGATGAGAAGGGAAAGATTTGAAAGGGACATACGGGGCAACCTTTTCAAGCAGAGGGTGGCACGTGTATGGAATGAACTGCCAAAAGGAAATGGTGGAGGATGGTACAATTACAACATATAAAAGGCATCTGAATGGATATATGAATAGGAAGGGTATAGAAGGATATGGGCCAAATGCTGGCAAATGGGACTAGATTAATTTAGGATATCTGGTCAGCATGAATGAGTTGAACTGAAGGGTCTGTTTCCAGGCTGTACATTTCTACATCTCTATGGCCAACTGTGAATAAGCACATCCAGCTAAGGATAAAATATTGAAATCAGAACATGCACAACTGTATTCTCTCACTTCAAGATAAAATTGCTTTCCATCTGTAAAAATAAGTAAGATCTGGTCAGTGCAGTTTTGTATCCGAGATACAAGACACTTGAATAAATGCACAAACATATACTATGGTAAAATGAAGTCAAGAGGTTAACTATTTAAAATGTCTAATTTATTGCTACATATTGTGTAAGCAATGAGATTATATGGTTAAAGGAACAAATGCTAAAACAATTACATTCCATGCATATATTTTAACCACATGAATTGATGTGTCCACAATCTGATGTCCTATTAAATGCATCACAAGGGAATTAAAGGAAAGCATCTCATCAAAACCAGTACTTGGACTTGTGCAAGAACTGTGCTTTACTGGCTTTTTTCCACCCCTGTAACATTCATGTATTGTCGCTGTATTTTTGTTTGTATTTGTATGTCTTTTTTCCCCAAAAGGGGCAGGGTTTAAATACAGAATAATAAATTAGTGATTCAAGTTTCTTTTCTGCTATTGGTAAAAGACATGTCTGTGTGCAGAAACCTGACGAATGTTTTCTTCTTAATCTAGATTTGCCAATCAGGGACTTTGAATAGTTTGATTAAATGTTTTCATATCTGTGATGACTCCCCTGAATAACATGGGACTTCCAGTGCGCAACACCAGTGAGTCATGACATTTCTGAAAAGTATCATAGGAGACATGCGATAAGGAAATGCCAAAGTCTCTTCAATCTAAATGAATATTGTTATGATCGCAGCTAATGACAGTACTGGACAAGTCACATCCCAGAATGAAACCTGGCTGATAGATCATTTTTTGATTTGTTAATTAACTTGGTAGTTAGTTAGTGGTGAAATATATTCAGGCGACAGAAGATCTTTAACAACATTTTTTTTGTGTAATAAACTCATCTCTATAAAAAAGTTCAAAAGATCTTAACACAAACATCAGAACAAAATTTCAACATTTCCCAACAGCACTCATAAAAGAGACTCAAGTCTGGAGAAATTACACTCCTATCTCAACTCTATAGATTTCTACTTAACTGACTCCATCCAAGCGCTTTTCTATGAACTGTATAGACAATTTGATAAGTCCATTCCGACACTACTGTCTCAAACTTTTCACCAATCCAAGAGCCTAACCTTTTCAATTCTAAAAAACGTGCAGATTTCTATCCAAACTCTCCAGCCTGGAAATTTCACAAACTAGACACTTCTGCTGGGTGACTGATTTTCCATGAACTGTAAAACTCATACTAGGAGAGAAATTTAAACTTGTTTTTGAACTCAACTTTGGTATTGTCAAAACCGAACATTCTTCTGAACTCTGATGTTGTCTGAATTGAACTGAACAACTCTGGTGTTTTCTGAACTGAAAAGAAAACCAATTAACAGCTTTAAATGGTTTTACACTACTTGTCAAACATATTTCCATTGACATAACAAGGGTCTGCAGAGAGATTTTCTGAGCAAAAATAGATGTTTCAGAATGACTATGAACTTTTAAAACCTCTCAACACTCACGTACACCCATCTACCTTTTTAAAATAAAAATCCAAATTAAAAACAACATATAACATATCTTGCATCATATTAACTGTAACACTGATATTCAGACATAACTTGAGCGACAGTGCAATTTCAGTTTGAGGAAGACAGTTGTAGAGATCAGTTTACAAAAATTGTAGAAATATGTACAATTTATACATTAAAGCACTTGGATAAACTTTACTTTTTTCGGAGGTGGTGGTGGTTTCTGTTGGAAAGCTAATTTCACAGCTTCTGCCGCTGATTCTGGCTCTTTGTTTAAGCTCTTCTTGGAGTCTGCTTCAGATAGTACCACAAAAAAATGGTGGCATTTTTCACATTTCACAAAGCGAGTGGAAGCTGTAGATGAGATGAGATGACTCTTAAAACATACTTCTATAACATCAGTGGTAAATCAGCTTCAATTGATGTTGCATTAAAAATGTATAGGATATTCCTATATAAAAACACATCAACTATTATTTCCAACCAGATTTTTGCAAGCTGCAATATTTTAACTACTGTTTCACCAAGATGTTACTAAACCTAGTGCTTCCCCATGTAATAAATGTCTGTCTGCCTAAATTTGGCAAAACCAAGTTAATAGGAGAGAAACTAGAAGCTAAATTACCGCTGGAGTCTCAGAATAAAAGCATTTTCAGGAAAGAGAAAATTTACGTCTCACTTGCATATTGTTAATTGTGTAAAACAGACGAAGGTACCACTGGACAATGGTCAGTCAGCTCAGTTAACTGTACAGCTGATTTGCGATGCAGAGTGACACCAACAGGATAGGTTCAGTTCATGCATTCGCTGAGGTTAGCATGAAAGACTCTCCTTCTCAACTTCTGCCCTCACCTGAGTCATGGTGACCTTCAAGTTAAACCATCACCCTCTGTCTCTCTCCAATAAGAGCAGCCACATAGTCTGGTAAGATAATGGTGACTTTACTTTTACCTCTAAATATCAAACAAACTACCAACGATCCTGGCTAACTGGCTGATGCTCTACATTTAGCGTCTCCACTGTACCAATGACCAATATTCATAGAACAACAGTTTATTCCCTGTAAAAATATATTTCAGTTTTACACAACCGAGACAATTCAAACTTTTTTAAAAAAATCCTATCCCAACACTTTTTCAGCCTTCCAAAACAAAATGTACTATGGTTGATGGAAATCTGAAGTAAAAACAAAGTACTGGAGTTCAGCAGGTTTGGCAACATCTGTGGAGACAGAAACAGAGTTAACATTTTGACTCCTGTATGACTCTTCTTCAGAACCAAAAATTCACACTGGACTTAAGTGTTAATATCATTTTCATCTCTTGAACGACATATCCCTCATTTTGGCCAAAAAGAAGAGAAAACACTGCCAGACATCTGCCAATAAAGCTCTAGTATGATAACTCTCTGCTGGAGTCGATAACATATTCCGGGACAACGCTCTCTGGTGTGAATAAGAGATCCACTGAACACCTCCAACATCAATGTCAATAATGGGAATCTCAGCCACGAGTTTGGAAGAAAAACAAAAACAGAATGTGTTTTTGAGTCTTCAACAAACTAAATCACTAAGTAAAGACTTGGTTATACCAAATATTTAACATACGAGCTTTTGTCATTATGAATCAAGAAATACAAGCAACCATAAGAAAATGGACTATTAAATATCATTGACAACAAGGTGCAGGGCTGGATGAACACAGCAGGCCAAGCAGCATCATAGGAGCAGAAAGGCTGACGTTTCGGGCCTAGACCCTTCATCAGAAAAGCGGGAGGGGAAGGGGGTTCTGAAATAAATAGGGAGAGAGTGGGAGGCGAATAGAAGATGGATAGAGGAGAGGATAGGTGGAGAGGAAACAAACAGGTCGAAGAGGCGGGGATAGAGCCAGTAAAGGTGAGTGTAGATGGGGAGTTAGGGAGGGGATAGGTTAGTCCAGGGAGGACGGACAGGTCAAGGGGGCGGGATGAGGTTAGTCGGTAGGAGATGGGGGTGCATCTTGAGGTGGGAGGAGGGGATAGGTGGCAGGAAGGACGAGCTGGACTGGTTTTGGGATGGGATCCCTCTTCCGTACCTACACCGGCCCTAAACCCCACCTCTTCCTCCGTTACATTGATGACTGTATCGGCGCCGCCTCGTGCTCCCACGAGGAGCTCGAACAGTTCATCCACTTCACCAACACCTTCCACACCAACCTTAAGTTTACCTGGACCATCTCTAATACCTCTCTCCCCTTCCTGGACCTCTCTGTCTCTATATCGGGCAACCACCTCGAAACCGATATTCATTTCAAGCCCACCGACTCCCACAGCTACCTAGAATACTCCTCCTCCCACCCACCTTCCTGCAAAAATGCTATCCCCTATTCCCAATTCCTTCGCCTCCGCCGCATCTGCTCCCAGGATGAGGCATTCCACTCCCGTACATCTCAGTTGTCCTCGTTTTTCAAGGACCGTAACTTCTCCCCCTCAGTGGTCGAGGACGCCCTCAACCGTGTTTCCCACATCTCCCGCAACTCATCCCTCACACCCCGTCCATGCAATAAGAACCAAAAAAGAATCCCCCTCGTCCTCACGTACCACCCCACCACCTCCGGATCCAACGCATTATCCTCTGACACTTCCGCCATCTGCAATCCGACCCCACCAACAAAGACATCTTTCCCTCCCCACCCTTATCTGCTTTCCGGAGGGACCACTCTCTCCGTGACTCCCTTGTCCGCTCCACACTCCCCTCCAGCCCCACCACACCCGGCACTTTTCCCTGCAACCGCAGGAAGTGCTACACCTGCCCCCATACCTCCTCCCTCACCCCCATCCCAGGCCCCAAGAAGACTTTCCACATCAAGCAGATGTTCACCTGCACATCTGCCAATGTGGTATACTGCATCCGCTGT